TGTGGCTGCAAAATGAGGAAGGCAGGACTGGCAGGATATTGGCCATGCCACAGTTTTTTTCTTTTGCCAAACCTAAATGTCTTAATCATGTCAGAAATGTAACTGGACTTGTTTCATCCTGGGCTATATAACATCCGTGTGTTAGTGCCGCACTCTCGTTGTCTGCCTGCAGCATCTTCAGAACAATATTTTTGTGTTGCTGAATCGTTGAAAACACCAAAACAGACACACTTTCTGAAATGGTTTTAGTTCCTCTCTTGCGCAGACATCACATGGGGCATCAAGATTTATGTGAAAGGGACAAAGTACTGATTAACTAATTATATATATATAATGTCTGTGAGATGCATAGCTGTACTCTCAATATAGACTTTGAGTTGACTCTAATGTATCTAAAAACTCTCCCCTCTCGACCAAAGTTTTCATGATTTTGTGAATCAATGCTTATTATTACGGAACCAGACCATTTATTTGAACTGTTAGAAAAACGTTGGGACTGTGGGACAAACCCGTTGGTTATGAATGTACAGATACAGGCAAATCCACAGGATTTTAGGCACCATTACCAATTTGTGCAAAAAGAGGAAGTAAAAGCTGGTGAGAGCTTCTATCAGTGTCTGTTTCCTGAAAATACCAACACTAAAACAGTTCTTCTTTATTCAGTCCGACTTCCTAAAGACTGGTCATAAGACAACGTCCTCACCTTTTTCACAGCCGACATTTAGACGTCACAGGTCTCATCAATAATAATAATGATGGTTTCCAGTAAGACAGTGAGACAGTTTATACAACACCAGGAGCATGAGGCTATCATTAAATCAACTGAAGCGGTTTGGCAGCCATATTTGTTTATGGTTTGTTGACCTTAATTCAATAATTTGAAATTACTCGATCCTAATAATTGGTGAGAGTAGATTTGTTATGGAACTTACTTTCCTAACACAAACCACACACGAAAAGTAGAGAATTATGTCTCATGTGATGTCATCCATCCATCCATCAATCCATCCATCCATCCATCCACCGTTCCCTCCCTACTTCCCTCCATCCAGCATGCATCCATTCATCCATCAATCCATCAGTCCCTACTTCCCTCAATCCATCCATCCATCCATCTATTCCCCCCTCCCTCCATCCCTCCCTTTATCCCTCCATCTCTTTCCTCTCCTCTTCTCTGACTCTTTTCTTCATCTGTGCTGTGCAGTGGCTGAGCCGGCGATCCAGATCTTCGAGCAGCCCAGGCAGCGTGGGATGCGTTTCAGGTATAAGTGTGAGGGTCGCTCAGCCGGCAGCATCCCCGGAGAGAACTGCTCCGACAACAACAGGACCTACCCCAGCCTGCAGGTCAGCCTGCTCAACAGCTGCAAAGATCCACATGCTAAAATATATACACACAAAGTCGTGATTTTTGGCTTTTCTTTTCACATCTTGGTGTCTTTCTATACAAGAGCATTGCATTAGGCCAGTATTACAACTGTTAAAACAACTCCTCTCTTTCTACAGATCCTTAATTACTCCGGCAAAGGTAAAGTGCGCGTTTACTTGGTGACGAAAAACGAGCCGTATCGGCCCCATCCACATGACCTGGTTGGGAAGGACTGCAAAGACGGATTCTATGAGGCCGAGTTTGGTCCTGACCGCAGAGTGATTGTGTGAGTTCTCTTCCCACAGTCGCCTGCATCCACCAGCACCCCTATCATACGTGGTGTTTACTCACTTCACTGTCGCTGTCGTCAGCCCTCACTCTGAGTCTTAAGTACCGTACAGTGATTGGAATAAGTCAACACACTCTCTCGCTGTCTCGCATACAAACACACAAACTCACCACAACATAATTATTTGCTCTCTGTTAGCAGTGTTTTGTGTTTCGCTTGACTGTTTCGGAAGACACCCCGCGTTAATAAGTGAGCTCTCAGATACAGAAGAAGAAACTCATTCAGCAAATAATCACTTCAGCCCCCCCCCCCCCCCCCCCCCCCCACACACGCACACACACACTGTGATGAGGATACCAATATGGGAATTCCCCAAGTGACATCACCCAGAGAAAAACGTGTGTTAGTGTGTGTGTGTGTGCGTGTGAGAGTGTGAATGAGTCAGTATCTTTTCGGGTGTGTATAATTTGCACATCCCTTGTGTTTTGATGCAGTGGATTCATATCCATTTTTGATTCCAGCCCTTCTATGTTCGTAAAGAGAATTACACTAGAGTTCACACAGTCATTAGTATAAAGAGAAGATTGCCGACATTAAAAGCATCATGGCTTTGATTTCAATGCACAGCTTTGTACACAACAGCAACACTTTTTCAGACAGATCATCACTCACACATGGGGCCAGCATGCGTTTTATTTACATATAATAAGGCTCACATAGTATAACAGTGCTGTCCCTTTCTCATGTCACGACTGTGTTGTTATTATTGACAGTTTCCAGAATCTGGGCATCCAGTGTGTGAGGAGGAGGGAAGTGAAGGATGCGATCGTACAGAGGATTACCAGAGGGATTAACCCCTACAACGGTGAGTCCCTCAACTTTGTTTGTTCTATCTGGTCCGTGTTCATGTTTTACATACAGAGAACATTTCACCCTGACCTCGCGTACAACATCAGCGAGCCATCACACAGAGCCTGACTGATGCTGGATCTGTTTAGCCCTGATAACAGATCACATAACAAAACAAATCTGATCATGTTAGATCATCATTTATTCTTACAAAAACAAAAAAACTCAAAAAAGAATGATGACATTTTTGTTTCGACATTCCATATATCACACTTGTAAAGTGTTTAAATCTATATGGACTCTCATGTTGAAAATGTACTGTTATTTAAATACTATCAAGTTATTTGATTGTATCTTATGTTCAACAAATCCCACTTGATCGATGCATTCAAATATTGTAGTGTGTGCGTGCATGCTTGCACTGTTACTCATCTTGTGGAGACCTAAATCTGTTTACAGTCACAATATGAGAAAGTCCCCAGAATGTAAATCATATAATTAAAGTGATAGGTTTGTCTAGGTTAGGTAAGGTTAGGTTAGATTAGGTTAGGTTAGAATTAGGTTAAGCTAGGTACGGTTAGGTTATGTTATGTTAGACTTAGGTTAGGTAAGGTTAGGTTAGGTTATGTAAGGTTAGAATTAGGTTAGGTTAGGTTAAGTTAGGGGTTAGGCATGTAGTAAGTCTCCAGGAAATCAATGTGAGTCAATCTCTGACAGAGTGTGTGATGTGTGTGTGCGTGCATGCATACATGTCAGTGTGTGGTTCCAAAGCCTTATATATCATATGACCAACTGCTTTTGAAAAGTTAGCTCTCTTTAGTGAGCTCTAAAACAAGATTGAACTACATACCTTATTACTCAGCTTTTGTTAATAAAATGAACATACTTCTAAAATATAACTATGTATAAAAGTATTCAAAAACAAACTTTACTTTTGTATATCTGCCACAACACTGTGTATGATGATACCAGTGTGTCTCTGATCAACAGAAATCAGCTGATAATATTTCATCCAGACTGCACAGAACAATCAGTGTTATTGTATTGAGTTGACAAGTTGCTGCTGCTGCTGCTGCTGCTGCTGCTGCTGCTGCTGCTGGTTCAGCTTCCCCATCACTGCTGTTTATTACTGTAACTGCTGCAGCTGTTGTTACTGTCAAACAGGTTCAAAACAATTCAACAGAATTGAATTCTCGTGCCCGATGACCCAGTTCTCAGGCCGCGGAGAAGAGTTTTCCTCACGTCGAGTCAAAAGATGAGCTCTCGCGCTATCTTCAGCGGTGCCATTTCCTCTTGTGTGCCCTTCGTTGTGCTCTTCCTCCGGTGCAGGCAAGAAGGCCGCTCTCGTGTACAAACAGGCGTTGAGCTTACTTCCCCATTCTTGGTCACAGTTGCTCAATTCAGCGCAGTGCAGGAGGCCACGTGAGAGCTGGGAATGCAGGATTCATTAACGGGGGGGGGGGGTGTTGTGGTGTGAGGGGGGTTCCCCAGCCCTCAGAGATGGTGATAAAAGTAGGGTATGGTGCCTTGCAGGTCTGAGGAAAGAATAGTTTGTATTCACACAAATTTCACTCTCTGTCTCTCAAACATAGATCTCGTGGTTATAGAATATTGTGTTTTAAGATTGGATTGGGAGGATTTGCAAGTGGTGACTGAAATTGCTTTAAGTGGAATGTAAACCATATATTATATATTTCAAACCTCATATGTTGAGATTTATTTCCTCTACCACAGAAGCTATGTTTTTGTCTGCGTTTGTTTGTCTGTCTGTCTGTTAGTAAGCAGAGTTACGCAAAAGCTAGTGGACGTATTACCACAACACTTGGTGTGAGGATGCGGTATGGGTCTAGTGTGGATCCAGATTTTTTCTTCCTTTAACATTATGAGACATCAACCTTTCCATTGATTTCTCAGAGTATAATTCATGGATCTTGATGAAAACAAAATCAGACATATTTAGGGGACTGATATTTAGCACTGTAGACATAGCACATAGAGAACGATAAGACAACTGACCTAAAAAAGAAAAAAAGGACCTGTGATCCAGATGGTTCTGTTTGAAATAAACCCCCCAACCCATAGCTGACAGTTTTAGACTTCTGGTCTTTCGTCTGAGCGCCACCATGTAAATCTCTATTCTCTTATCTGCATTGGAGCATTATGACGGTAAAAGAGCAAATTTAGGTTTAGAAATTCTGCAAAGTGGAAGTTGAGAAATGCTGTTACTGCGACCAGTAAAGATATTTTTACTGTGTGATTCCTGTGGTCGAGGATCATGCAATTAGACATGTCTTACAAAGCCAGCTGTTTGGATTCGTGGTTGAAAAGAGACAGAAACAAGTTTCACAAAAGTCTCATTTACATTTATCCAAAATACCACTGGATAGATTTGTATTGCTGTTTCACATCTGCCCCATTTTATCCCTTAAAAGAGCAGTTTTGGAATGAAAGGACTTTGAGTGGTTCACCGTCACAAAAATTAGATTCTGATAAAAGGAAAAAAAAAACGTGAAGTAACATAATTCACCATTTTTAATTTGATGTATCTTTATCAATAAGAGAGGTTGGATGTGAACACGTAACCAGAGCTTGATTAATTCATTAGACAAACATGACTGGGATCTTTGTTGGTATTTCATCCAGAAGCTCACGTTCGTAGCAACTGTATAATTGTTGAGTGGGTGATTAAAAGATGGCTGATAGGTGAGTGCCACAGCGGAATGTGATTTTAGATCAACTAATCATACAAAGTGCAAGCTTCAGAGTCTTGGTGCTGTGACGATGAACATAAAACAGATTTGTGGCATTTGATCATTGCGTATCTAGTGCAGGTCGCCTTATTGGTCAGGTTGCAGGTCCACATGGTGCAGAGCAAACATGGTTATTGCTGCCGACGGTTTAATGGGCAGCTGGTTGTTTTCTCATTTTCAAACTCTCCCCTCTCTTCAGCTCAGTTCTGCTGCGAAACTCAGCCGCTTCCTGTGCTGTGCTCAGGTGGTTGTGTGAGTGCAAACGGGTACACCCACCTCACCACACACACCTTTAAACACACACACACAAACCTTTCCTCATGCATGCAATATGCTGTTCAAGCTCCATCGGTGCAGCTGCCTGTAGAATATCAGACACCTGATGACCTCACAGAGTGGTTAAGGTCACTGTCAAACAGCTGCACTGGGAGGTGAATAGTGTGTGTGACGTTTCTCTGATAGTGCTCCCTCACATGTCACAATGCACCTGGTAAACGTTTACTGGGCTCCCACGAGGAACAGTTCACAATAAATGAAAGTAACCCTAACCCTATTAAAGTGTGTTTAAAAAGTGCAATATGTTGAATCACCAATGTTTTATAAATCACTGTGTAATAGATGCAAAACATAAGAGTTCAAATAAGTTTTGTTGGTCCAGAATTTATTTCAAAAGATTGCATTCACATTTTATAATAAAGTGATTTAAGCTCTAAATCCATTTTCGGATATTCCTCGCTGCACTAGTCGGATGTTTCACTTTACTCTACAAATACAAGTGTTGGATTTCACCGTTTTTGTTGCTGAACATTATTTCACAAGCTGAAAATCTCACAGTTTGGCCTCTTGATGTAAGAACAATGGTGATAAAAACCCTCACAGCCACACCTATCCATTTAAATCACTATAAAATGTGTCAGCAGTAGATTTCTGGCCTCTCTCATGTTTTTACAAAGTGATTTAAAACCACAGGCTTCTGGAGTATTTCAGAATATGATTCCACAACCCTCAAATTCTTTGTGATTGTAATTTGAGGCAGTACATAACATTTTATTGTCATTTAGAGGTCGGAGGTCACTTCAAAGTCAGTGCTGGATGCTGGTTGGTCGGCACTGTTGAATACTAATGAGCACTGTTTTAGAGCACGATTATTTTTGCCACTTATCCTTCCTCTTTTTGTCTTTACTGGATGGGATGGATTCCTGTGCTGGACATGATTTTTATATTTGCCTTTTTCTCCTTTACTCTATATTTCCCATTGCCAGAAAAATGTACACAATGTTTGTATCCACACAATCCTCCATGTCTTTTGTGCCTTCAAGCAATTTCATTTTAAAGCCGAGGGAAACTGACCTGCCACAGTATATTCTACATCACTCTGTAGGTAAATGTGATGTAACTTTTAATATATCATTCAGTAATTGTTGCCTCAGTCTCAGACTAAAACCGAAGGTTGGTGAAATAGTGAGTCATGCAATGGAGACCTGCCTCCCCTTCTTTCTCACTCTCAGTCTGCTCCCACATTCACACTTACCCCCGTCACCGCCACAGCCACTGCATTGCCCAGTGACATCGAGCCCCAGGTTCTTTCCACCACGCACATTCACGCACCACTAGTTTACCTGCTGCCCACTTTTCTGCACCTGTCCAGCGTGTGCCTCGTCTGACAGCACGACTCCACAAACACATTCCACACAATAGGACGAGCAGCTTGGTCCCATCGCTATTGGCTCTGACAGTTGAGCTTTCATACGTGGGCTCTGCTTCATTTCACCCTCCTTCAGTTTCTCCACTCTGTGTGTGTGTCTGTGTGTCTGTGCCACCTACAGACGGCAAACCTGGTGACCACACAGAAATGTGAAATAGAGCAGAGCTGCATGCAGCTTAAAGACTTTCTGCAGAGACATCTAAACCCCCACGAGCTGTTACCATGCAACTTTTGTTGTTGATGTTGTTGTCAGTGTTGACACTAAAGCTCTACTGGTAGTGTAGGTACATACCCAATACAAAGCCTGCAGTATGTTAAGAAAACTCCCTCCTGATTCTCAGAAGCACGTGTTATGACCTGTTAAGAGACGTCACGATTCTAAGCAGCCAGAAGCACTTGATGTTAAAGGAGCTGAATCAGCGATCTGATAGATACACTGCTGGCATGACGGGAGGCAGGTGTACAGACAGACAGTCAGGTCGAAGGGAGAGAGGCAGAGGCACCATGACCACACAGACACACATGCAAACACACACACACACACACACATGCAAACACACACACACACACACACATGCAAACACACACACACACACCATGTCACCATTTGATGCACTGTACTAGATTAAAACTTTAAGCTTGTTCACATCTGTAGCCCCTTCACAGGTCAGAATAACACACAGTGTAATACAAGCATAAACACACATCATTAGGGCAGAGCTCAGCGTCACTCAGAACATTGCAGAGCAGCTTTCAACAGTTGGTTTTAAAAGTTCTGGTAGCGATGCAGCTCCTCACATCGTCAGGCATATTTTCACTTTTATTTTCTTATATTGTAATTATATTGTTTTATTGTAATGAAGTAACACATCAAATATAATTGTTTAAAATGTCCTAAATATAAAGTTGCCAGTCCAACAGACCATGTAATGTTGTGAAAGTTATAAAATAACCAGAGCCACACTGACATGTTTTGGCTGAATCTGATATTTAATATCAAAGCTTCATGTCAACACCAGTCGACTTTTGTCTGGTATTGAAACATTTCTCACTAAAACGCTCATGGAGACGTGTTAAGAAGCTTAAAATTACCAGTGAGTCATTTTAGTTGTTTTTGCCTTTTTTGACTTCTGACCAAGCAAAAGACAAACAGACTTGTAACTGCACTCGTGACCTGTGACCTCACTTGGAACTGAGCCCTGAGAGGAGTGATGGCTGCTGCCAGCAGAGCATGCAGAGACAGAGCAGGAGAAATACCTAGCTACAGTACAGCTGTCTGCACTGAACTCGTCCACTGACACTTCACAAAGGATGAGGAGTTCCCCTTCATGTTGTCTGCAACCGCACTGCAGCTTTTTGTTGTATATTGAAGTGTTTCTGTCGGGAACACACATGTATTATCAACCAAAGTCTGGTATCTGCTGAGAAACACATTGTGACTGAGAGAAACCTCTAACTAAGTCAAAGACTTGAAATATGACTTGACACTCGCTCCTGTCCCACCACTTTCACTCACGTCAGGAGCCCCATGGTCACTTGCTCAGGAGACGCATCGCTTGCATCTGTGCTGTGCACACGCTCACACTTCTTTCCACCCTCTGGTGACGTTGCTGAGCGTCACTGTAGAGGCAGATTGTAGGTGGGGATGGCCTCAACATGAGCACGATAGATAGAAATAAGAAGACAGAGGAAGAGAAAGTAGGCAGATGTGAAAGCTTTGGTGTGTGTCGATGCGTGGGCGTCTCTCAGTAAAAGCTTTCCCTGTAAGGTGTGCGTTGTCTCTGAGGGTAGGACGTATGACACTTGTGTGTGTATGTGTGTATGAGATGAAAATGTAGGACGCTTGAAAAAGCTTTCTGTGACGCGTTGAATTTGATTCAAGGTTGAGGTTAGGGCAGCAGCCTACAGATGTGACAGAAGCATTAGAGAAATAAAGAGAATTTATCTTGACATGCAAGACACATTGTGGGGAGCAAATGCTAATAAATAAACACATATTTGACTTATCTTCTATTTACCTATAGACTTCTTCTACTGGAACATTTAAATATCCACCTTTAAAACAGTTCAAGGCGATGAAAAGTTATTGTTTCAACAGGACAGTTTCATAATTAATGTCCCAGTGACTATCTACTCCTGACCCTCAGATATACAGGTGGAATGTACGGGTACTTGCACTTTGGTGTATTCGTCCACCCCACCATAATCCAGAGGAAAATGTCATACGTTTAATGGCATCACATTTATTTTTGATGGCTGTAGTTAACGGCTTCTTTTTACAAATTCATTTTTTTGGAAAAAAGAGAGAGAGATATCAACCATATATTAAATTGTTCAAATTTGCTTTGTGATGCAGTTTGTTACTCTGATGCTTGTTTGTCTGTCAGTAAATATGACTTAAATCAACAGCAGTGTGTTTTTATTATCATGCTGACGTTCATGTTTGTGTGTGACCTCAGTGCCACGGGAGCAGCTGCTGCAGACAGAGGAGTACGACCTGAACGTGGTTCGCCTTTGCATCCAGGTTTTCCTGCAGGATGAGAATGGGCATTACACCCGATCGCTCAACCCCATCGTCACCAACCCCATCTACGACAACAGTGAGTTGGCTGAGCTCTATCTGCATTAACTGCGTTCATGCTGACATCATGTTAAGGAAATTACAAGTGATCAAATGGCCACACACGAGAAAACAGGCTGCCTGAGGTTAGGTGTGTCCACGTTATGGTTCAGTTAATAGCGTTAGTGATGATAATGATGTAACATTAAGGTAAGTGCTAATATTAAAGCCATTCCATGCACTTACCTAGATTTTTATCAGTGTCCTACTAACTGTAGTAACAATAATACTATGCAATAACTAATGAGTCATAAGAGTAGCTGTTCTGTGTATGTTTGTCCAGTAGATATCCTCTCAACACGGTTTCAAGTGTTGCACTCAGATATCTGCTTGTGTTTTTCTCACACAAATTGAGAAAGGGGAAGTTCTTTATACGCAGTAACCCTCAAACTACACTGTTGCCATGGAGCACTTCCTCTTCTGACAACACGCATGTGACATGTGACTCAACCTGGTGAAGCTTCAACAGTAAACTGACACTGCTTTCTTTTTCTAAACTGAGGCAGATAATCAAACTGATCATTTAAGCTGCTCACTCCTGCACACAGGCCCGCCGACAGGGGGGGACAAACGGGTACGTTGTCCCGGGCCCTGGACTGGCCCTGGAATGGGGGGGGCCCATAACTGGACCCCCATGAAGTTGGGATTAATTATTGTATGTATACTTCAAAATGTGTTGATTTAGAGAAGAAAAGTGCTTTATTTGCATTCAATTAATGACTCCTAGATTGTTTGCCTTCATTGCCCTTGAAAAAACGGCC